AGGTGAACAAGCAAACCAACAATGGGGTCAAATGCTTTTGGGTGCCAAAGGAGATCATTTCCAACATGAAGAGCACCAAGAAGGTTTGGATCCCAAAAGGGAAGTAAGAAGTCCAATGGACTTCGGGGAATTTGGAGACTTGGCAAAGTATGGGTGCATTTCATAGGGTGCATCATGATGGACAAAATCATTGCCAAGTGGGTTAGTGAATACTATGGACCCAAATTCCCCTTCCCATGTTAGGTAACTAGATACAATTTATTTTAATTGGTATTAGATTTAAATTTTTCTATAATTGGTATCTTTTAGCATCTAGTTACCCTTCATGCCTAGGTTTGCATTTACATGCTTATATCTTTTGTCATGCATACACTAGGTCTATCTTATAGTAGGCTTGCTCGGTTTCATTCTTAATCCATGGAGCAAACCTACGTGGTTTAAATTTGTTTAGGAGCACGGCACATAGCTTGTCTTTTTGTTATTCATCTAATATGTGCCAAAGTCCAAATTGTAGATAATTTCCCCCGAATATCATCTTTGGAAAGTGATTCTCACATTCATGAGATGTCATCTTTCAAGTGATATTTTTTATTCTAAAATCAATGTGCATGATTCCTACAAGTATTCCACACTTGTGTGTGCATAAATTTAGGGGAGGTTAATCTATAAGTTGGATGCTTTGAGACTAATACCCTTTTCAAGTTTATCATGTGTGTAGTAGTCTCATTGCAAGGAAAATGGAGTCCCCGGAGTTAAGCATCACACTTCAAATATCCCCCACTCATTGCAAGTGGTAGAAATCAATTTGGTTTCCACATGTGGTATTTCTAAACTAATATCATCATGTTGATTTCATTTTGATATTTATATGCTTTCTCCATGCATTATATAAATTAAATTCCCTTGAGCAATAACTTGCTAATTAGGCATATACTTTACTTTCTATCATATGTATGCATATATTTAGGGGGAGCCTAATCTATATAATGTGAGAGCCAAATTTTGTGACCTATTCCACTCTACACATAAAGGCTCACAAAGTTTGACCCTCCCTTGTGCTACTAATGTCTTCCTTTTCGGTGTTTGATTCCAAAGGGGGAGAATTTAGAGGACCAAAAGCAAGCATTAATAATTTACAAGTGGTAATGGTCCGAGAAATGGAGGATAGTGGATTATAGATTGCCTATGTAATGGGGAGAATTTGTAGGAAGTAAGGCTTAAATCCATAATGCCATATGGGGACATTTTGCAAGGGCAAGATAAGTTTTTATGTAGTATCTTTTAGTATTACAAGTAGTATCTTTTAGCATCATATAAACTTGCCCCTTGCATTGCATCCTAGCAAGTAGGTAGTTTTCAAATTTAAAATTTTTATTATTTGCTTGCTTTGGTCGTGTTGTCATCAATCACCAAAAAGGGAGAGATTGTAAGGAAAATGGACCCTTGGCCCATTTACTTTGGATTTTGGTGTTTGATGACCAACACAACCAAATTGGACTAATGAACTTGCAAGTGATTGTTTTGTAGTTCAATAGGATGCAAGACGTGACTTGGATGAAGGCGACGTGATGATCCGATGATCAACACCATAAGCAAGACCCTAGGAGCACAAGAGAAGACCTAAGATATCAAGCAAAGTCCAAGCATGAAGATAGGAATCAAGCCATACGCAAGATCGCGAAGAAACAAGCTCACAGAAGTGACCGGACGCTGGACCGAACGCTGCAAGAAAGTGACCGGATGCTCTGATCAAGAGGCTCGGCAACAGGCGCGACCGGACGCTGGCGGCAGATCGACCGAACGTAGGACAGCAGAGTCCAGTCGAGTACAGAGAGGTTCCAGAGCGGCGAAACTGTGACCGGACGCGTCCGGTGGTAGGTGACCGGACGTTGGCAGCGTCCGATCAGTTGATCGCGGCTCCAACGGTCGGGACGACCGGACGCGTCCGGTCAGGACGATTTTAGCGTCCGGTCAGTAGCAGAAAAGCGGGATTTCGTCCCCAACGGCTACTTTCTCAGTGGAGCTTATAAATACAACCCCCAACCAGTCAAATGAGATGAGTGGAGCTGAGGAAACATACCAAGGGTGTTGATACACCATTTTAGTGATCTCCACTTGCATAGTGCTTAGTGATTCATTAGGTGATTAGCGTAGGTGCTTTGCGAAGTGCTTAAGTTGATTAGACCATCGCTTATGCGCTTGCTCTAGGTTTAGGCCTAGTGTTTAGTGAGGTTTGCATACCTCTTACCACTCGGTGCTTGCGAGCACCATTGTTGTACATCGGAGGGGCTTGAAGTCTTGCAAGATCACACCAATTGCGTTTGTGGTGTGGCTGCCACCGTATACCGGAGGGAACAAGGCCCGCGACGTTTCGGCCGGAAGCTTGATAGTGAAGACGGCGGGGAGCATCCGGGAGAGGCTTACCGAAAGGCACGTCGGAAACCCACTTGCGCGTGGGGAAGGCCCGAGGCTATCCACGGAGTTACCCTACCAGGAGCTTGGCCCTTGCGAGGGATTCCTTGCGAGGGGCTCCAACGAGGACTAGGGGGAAGTTTGCGCGCTTCTCGATACCTCGGTAAAAATACCGGAGTCGTCGACGGGAGTTTGCATATCTCTACCTTGCTCTTTAGCTTCCGCATTTACATTGATTACATTACTCCTTTACGGTAGAGATAGCAAAACATTAGCAAAATCGTAGTTGCACATTTAGATAGTTTATCTTTTGCATATGTTTTGCTAAGGGTAGAAAGAGAGACCATAGTTTAGAGTTAGATTTTTAAGTCGCCTAATTCACCCCCTTCTTAGGCGTCACGGTCCTCTCAGTGTGTCCTCGGCACGGGACGAAATTCTATGTCGACAGTCCTATGTCCCAACAGTACCCAAGTGAATCTGTTTCTTGTCAACTTTTATGGCAGCCTGCCATTTCAAAATTTTGAAATAAACCCCCCTCATAATGCATGGCTCTTGATCCACGTACTGCTTTCTTCTATGTCATTTTCTGCGCTTGATTTCCTTGCCTGAAGTGATAAGGAAAAAAAATGCAATTTTCTTATCAGCTGTGGAGTAAACTGTAAAGTTCAACTCAAGAGGATTAAGGAAAGACACACAAAAGAAAAGGTACAGGGAGTTCTTTAGGGAAAAGCTACAGGCCCTAACTAAACATTCCCAGCACAGCTATATAAGAAAAAATTGTCACACAAACATTTCCTATTGCAAACTATATTCTTTAAGGACACTTCAGAATGTGAGATGAAGAAAGCACAAGTTCTCTGAGATTTCCAATACATAATTCTAGAATATCAACTTTAAGTACCATAACTACAAGTAATCTGGACTTTAAGTGAAGAACAAACGCTAATAATACAAAATAAGAATGAAGTATAGACCTGGATAGTACTAGGTTTTCTCTTCCTTTGAATCATCAGAACCATTTGAGGATTTTGTGAGCACATCAGAAGTCTTTGCCTGCGACAAAAAGGCAAATTTTGTTAAGAAAAATCATACTTGCCATTGTAGTCAACAAATTTTCAGTAAAGCTTGAAGCAGAATGCAGGTACTACACAAATGTCACTACAAAACTCATCAGGCTATCTTAAGGAGAAAAGGATACAGCACAAGCAGGTAACATCGACACAAACTGGGATATTTTTTTATTCCGTTATCTAGATTTTTTTTTGAGTGTGTGCACATGAGCACCAATATACTCCTGCGCAAGATACTTCCTCAACATACAAAAAGTTATTATGCATAACAAGGGCAGTGGATGCACACTGAATGGCTTCACATTGGAGTGTGCAACTTCCACAGTTTTTTCATTTTCAATGGGCTTAGGAAGATCAACTGGCAATGAGTCTTTCCCTGAAACAAAAGCTAAACTCATGTGAGTACTCAAAACATATAGCCAACCTCTTTGTTGGTATAGATACAGAGATGATCCCAGATAAGGCTTTATACTTTTGTTCACTTCAAATATTATTCTATCTTCTTTAGGTTCTAATTGTAGAGAAAAAGAATACTGACACAGTCAAGCACCTGAAATTTATGATTTTCCAACATACTTTTGGGCTGCTAGTTGGTTAGTGATCGACCCAACTAAGGCCTTGTTTGGATACATATGTATCCACCTCAACCCACATGTGTTGAAGTGGATTGGAGTGGAACTTAAACTAATTTCCACTCTAATCCACCTCAACACACGTGGATTGATGTGGATAGATATGCATCCAAACAATGCCTAAAATAGTAAAAACCATGTAGCTTCCATCAGTAACTTATTAACACACATGTATTTATTTCCATGTACATTAAGGATTCTGCACTGAGTTTGTCTTTTTTTATACATTCATTCATATAGCAGGCTATTCTGAGAACATTTGCTGTATACTTCTATCCACACATGAAAGTTCAAACATATCTTTTGGAAAAAAACTTCAATTAGAGCTAATTGCTGCTTGACCATATAAAAAGTATAGCTGGAATATCAGGACAATTAATATGGCCATTCTTAAAAGGAACAATGTTCACATAATTGTAAAGAAAAGTTATTTATTTCTTATCTGGTAGAAAACAGTTCTGAAACTCAAAAGAACAGATATATGACATAACCCTAAGAGGAATTCTCAAAAGTGTGACTAAAGTACAAATTCTGGTACACGCAGCAATTAATTTACAACCAAACTTCCCACTTGGAAAACCTGCCCTCATAATTTCCCATGGGCCTCATTCCTAATATAACATTAAGAAAGGGAAAATTGGTTGTGTAGCATCAAAAGATCGCGATCTCCGTAAAATACCACCGAAAGTTTACGCCCCTGTGAAATAGTACCGAAAGGATCCACCGTGAACTAGAAGTACCATTCCGTCAAATTTTTCATACATAAACGTTAACCTAAGATAAAACCCAGACATGAAATTACATATTTGCCCTTACCTTATCCTATCTCACCCATCTGAGACAGGAGGGCACTCGAGCCGCTCAGTTCTCAGTTCGGCTCGCTCGCTCACCCCTTCTGTATAAATGATGCAAGCTATCAAACACAGACAACGATAATCAGACCATTCCTATTATTTCCTTCAATGCATTAATGAGTAGTTCTGTGCAGTGTTTGCTAAACTATAGTTTTTTCTAGACAGTGAGTCGATATCTGGTTATCTGCACTTTGCTTCTCAAGTAAGCCAGTGGATCATCATTAGCATACAGAGCCAATTTTTTCCTTTCTTTTGCATACATGTTACAGATAATAGTAGCTTATATACCTCAGTGAAAGGATCCTTAATGTCATCATGCTCAATGCTGCTCTCCTAGAAAAAAGAAATATATACAATAATCAGATGTGAAGCACGTTACCATATTCAACAAACATGTTACTTGTGTGACTCACATAATTGGGGAAGATAACCATGTCAACATTGTCAGGAACATCTAAAAGCAATCGCCTCAGGGCGTACTCTCGGGCACCAGCTAGGTGAATCAACTCATTAGTATCAAGGTGAATGATCCAATCCATCCCAGCATCCTGTGGCAATCAAACAGGGGACATTCACATAAATCTCATGACTAAATACAAGGCCTTTTCAAAGTCAAAATGACAGCTAATAAAATGACTCCATAATTAGCCAAGAACTAAACTAAGAAACTCTTTTTAAGAAATTTGAGACAAAATTGAAACATTTATACCGTCATATTGTAGACAAGTAAATTAGCATATTTTCTATAGCCTGCTACTGCTAAGAAGATTGCAAACAACACGAAATCCGGGTGCTCATCAGAGGTGGACCTAGAAAAGCACCCATAATTTTTGCAAAAAAAATATCAGAGTTAGTAATAGAATTAATGCATACATAGTCTTGTGATTAGATCAGATCGAAATACAAATTGCCAAATAGATTAAGCTAGGGTTCATCTGGTTCTCGTCTTGGCACAGCAGGAAGGGAGGAGAAAGGGTGCTTACTTCAACCATACCGCCAAGGGAGCTCGCGCTATCGGGGGATCTCGTGCCGCTGCTTGGGGGAGCTCGTGCCACCACCGGAGATCTCGGGCCGCCGTTTGGGGGAGCTCGCGCCGTTACCGGGGGATCTCACGACACCGCTTGGGGAGCTCATGCCGCCGGTGTTGGGGTGCTCATAGGAGCCCGACAGAGCTCGGGTGCTATGGGCAGGGCGCGGTGACTCCGAGCACGGCAGGGAACGACACCGGCCCAGTTCTGTGTGTAGTGGAAGCAGTGGCCCGGACGACCGCTGGGGTCGTCGGATTGGGGAGGACGCGCGCCGGCCGCTAGACATCGGAGACGGTCACGCGGATAGTCAGCGTGCGATGGTGGCCTGGCCGTGGACCTTCAGGATGGGACCCGCCCGTGTGAGGATGAGGGAGGAGGGCCATCAGGGCCCGCTCACGCTGACGCACCACCCGCGGGGGTGCCGCTGCCCTGCGCTCGCCGCCGCGAGCCTCGGGAGAGAGAGGGAGGGGTGGAGATCCAGGGGAGAAGAAGGGAAGGAACATCTGCGACTCCGGCCACCAGATCCAGCCATCGTCGATGAGCCAGAGTAGGCCACCGGAGCTGGAGGGCTGCGCGGCGTGGGCGTGGGCGGGCATGGCTGCGCGAGGGGCGAGGGCGACAGTGGTGCGGGGATGGGGATGGGGAGCGGCACAGTGCCACGGCGGCCCCTGCGATCCAGTAGGTCGCACGGTGGGGGGGGGGCGGTGATTGCGGCGTTTTAGCGATTTGTTCGTGGACGGTAGGCGAGGATCGCAGGCGTGGGCAAACGAACGAACCAAAACAAATGTCGCACAAAAAATGTCCATTCTTTGTTCTTTTTAGTACCTATTTATTAATCCTTAACAGCTACCTATTAAACCTCTACTTTTAGTATCCTATCTAATTGATTATCATTCATTGGTTCTGGGGACTCTAATTGATTAGTCTGAGTGTTTGATATTATGGAGAGGGTTTCATCAGCAACAACAGCAGAAGTTGAGGATAGTCTTGATGCCATCTCCACTGATTAGTCAGGCCGTTCAGGGAAAAAGAGGGCTAAAGTTTGGGCTTATGTTGACTCGAAAATCATTGATGGAATTGAGAAGGTTGTGTGCAAGTATTGCAAGGTCCAGTTGTCTTCTGTGTCAGGGAAAGGGACAACTCACTTGAATAGGCATATTGGATATTATTGTCATCATATCCCTCAAGAGGACAAGGATAGATTCTTAGCAACTTTGAAGAACAAGTCTGATAGAGATAATTATGTATTTGATCCTGTTGTATTCAGAGGTCTGATTGCAAAGTACTTTCTTAGTGCTGAGGTTGCATTTCGAAAAGCAGATGATCCTGCTTGGAAAGAGATGATAAATTATTGCCAGCCTTCATTCAATGTGGTGGGTCGACAACCGTTCGTGCAGACTGTCTGATCTTGTATGAAGAAGATAAATTACAGCTACATCAAAAGATTACAAAGTTGAAGTCTCATGTTAGTTTAACTGCTGATTTGTGGTCGTCAAACCAAAATTTGGGGTATCTTAGAGTTATAGCTCATTACATTGATGAAGAGTTTGAGCTCCATAAGAAGAATATTGCATTCAAGCAGGTCTCTTTCCCCCATAACTCATTTGCTGTGCAAGATGGCATCACGGCTTGCTTGACGGAGTGGGATTTAGTTGATCGTGTGTTCACAGTGACTCTAGATAATGCAAGCGTGAACAACAGAGCGATTAGAGACTTGCGTGCTACTCTAGGTGCTCAGATGTTCTTTAAGGGGGAACACATACATGTCAGATGTGCTGCTCATGTGCTCAATATAATGGTCCAAGCTGGATTGCAAGTCATACCACATGCAGTTGGAAGGGTAAGAGACATTATCAAGGTTGTCACATCTACACCTTCTCGTCTGCAAACATTCAACTCAATCATTCATGCATTAGGTCTCAAAGGCAAGTCGGGGCTAGTTCTAGATGTTCCCCACCGCTGGAATGCTACGTATGACATGTTGAATGAAGCTCTAAAATATAAAGCAGCTCTCAACAGATTCACAGTAGAGCAGTATCAGGATGTTCCTAGTGAACAAGACTGGTAGAAACCTGAATCGCTTCATGAATTCCTAGAACAGTTCAGTGAGGCTACAAAAGCATTTTCTACGGATAGGCATCCAACGGCCCACCTCTTTCTGAAGATGTTGATGGCAGTTCGAGATGTATTGCTTGATGAGACGTGGAATACCAATGAACTGCTCAATGAGTTGCCTGAAGCTATGTATACCAAGTTTCAGAAATACTGGGCTGCGCCTAGTATGGTACTTCTCATAGCTGCTGTCCTGGACCCATCAATGAAAGCTAATTTTGTCAGGTTCTTTTACTTGACTGTTGAGAATGCAGAAGCGGAAGCGAAGATGAGAGAGCTTAGACAATACTTGAAGAAATATTATCTAGAGTACGAGAGGGTTGTGAGGAACAGCACAGGTCCTGTCTTCGTTACATATGAAGAGGAAGTTTTAAGTCAGGGCGAATCGAGTTCTTCTGGACTTTCATGGCAAACGGTGTGTAGAGCTTGCATTTGCTCAATTTTCATCACAAAACTCAAGTACCCGCTCAGAAAGATCAGAACTGGATATTTATTTGGATGATCCCAGAGTAGTTGTGAGACCGACAAAGAACTTTAATGTTCTAGCATGGTGGAAGAAAAACTCGGACGCCTATCCTATCTTGTCTTTGATGGCCAGAGACTTCTTGTCTATTTCTGTTAGCACAGTGTCCTCAGAATCTGCTTTTAGTGCTGCCGGAAGGATACTTGGTAAAAATAGGACATCTCTCTCTCCAGAAACTCTTGAAGCGTTAGTCTGTGCGAAAGATTGGTTGATTGGCTTTAATGATGCAGAAGAAGGTAATTGTCATATTTTAGATAAATATTGCAAAGCCAATTTTATTTACAATAGTGGTTTAATATGTTTGTCTTGTTCAATGCAGGTCAACCAATGACCAGACAATGTATGTTTGAATCAGACGAAGAAGAAGATGATTGACAGGTTAGTGCCCCGATGCAAATATTTTTGTTGGTTTACTGTGATCAGTGCATGGGTTTAGAACACCAGACTGTGGTTTACTAGAATGAGAAGATGTAGTACATTACTCCATATGTTGAGTACTGACTGCAGTTCAAGAAGTGAATAGAAGCATGATAGTATTATGAGTTGACATGGATTTGAACTATAGCTGTAGCACAGTACCTACTACCTACTATGCACTTGAAGCATGAAGTTCTCCTTTTCACTGGTGCCTTTGCCTAGTCATATAATTGATGAAGCATAAAGTTATAGCATAGTTGCAGTTATTTGTTTTAATAAAATGCCTGTTAGTCAATGAAGCATGAAGTTCCATAATCTGTGTTCTGTTATTTGTTTTAATAAAATGCTTGTAGGGCCCACAGCCCCTCTAGTTTCATAAAAAAAAAGTTCTAGCATAGTTGCGGTTGACATCCCAAGTCCATTCATTTATCTGCAGTTAACATGTATATGATCAAATAGTAAATTCCTAAGTTTGAGTTTTGTGCTTGGTGTCTTTGCAGATGGCGTCTTTGTAGATTGTAGTTGCTAGCCCACAATCTGCATAGATGAAGTTCTAGCATAGCTGCAGTTGTAGGGAAATACTTATTACTAGAAAGTTTAACATAGAGCTAGCTAATGAAATGTTTGGATTGCGATCATGTGCTGCGTCTGATATGATATTCTCTATCATGGGTAGTGCACTGAAAAACAGTTGTGCTTTCTAACAAACTCTTACCAGAAATAACCTTGTTGTGCCTTTTATATTTCAGGCATTCTGCTTCCAGCAACTCAGGCCTCAGAAAGGTGTCAATGTTGAAGGTAAACATAACAAAATCGCAAACTGTTGTTATTGGATCTTTAACTTTAATCTTTCTTCGTCATGAGAACGTGAGATGTTAATGCCAATAACCCATACGGAACAACAGGACGGTCAATAAAGTTTATAGAATTGATTCTGGGTGGTGTCAATACAAAGATAGGCAATAATCTTCTTAGTACAAAGATAGGCATGAGTACTTCTGTTCATGCTTTACATGTTTCTTGCATTTTAGATTTTGAAATAAGATTTTCAGTGTTGCTATGTTTCAGGTGCAAGGATCAAATTGTTTTGGAAGAAAACTGGTAGTTCTACAAGATGCAGCTGGCAGTCTTACAATGGCATTGTTACTGAGAAATTGTGACTTACTTCCTCTGTCCCTTATTGTTTGTCGTTTCCGGTTTTCGTGCCACAAGTTTACCTCGATTTGTAGAAAATACGTGCAACATTTGTATCTCCAAATAAATTTATTAAAAAACTAGATTCAAATATCTTTCCAATGATACTAATTATGTACTATAAATATTAATATTTTTTAATATATATTTAATCAAAGTTGTTTCTTAGGAAGCGCAAACGACAGATAAAAAGAGACGGAGAGAGTATGTCATTCAGAGAAGGACAATACATATTTGCATGACATTATTTCTTATTTTCTTGAATTAAATCAATTTGCACAGACATATGTAGCAGATGGATGGAGAAACTTGGATTCGGCTACATGTTATTTTTTTTTCATCTTTTTAAATTAAATTAACATATCAGTGCTAGTGGCCATGCTCGTGATTTGGTTAATCAGGGCCTTGTACTCATTGCATTACTGCACATGTGCTTGCTTGTGAGAGCCCTCGGATTGCATTTAGGATCCGGCCCGAGGATTCAGAAAGGGCTGGGGCTGGATTAGGATGGTGCGACGTGTAGGATTGGATTGAACTGAGCTGAAACAAATCAGAAGGTGCTAGGATCGGGCTAGGTGTAATAATTAATCACCGTAGGATTGGAGTGGGGTTGGGGCCGGATCACAGCCCATTATCTGGCGGACCCACTCCCCGTCAATCCCCACTCGCCTGTTCCGTACACGGCACTCCCCCGCCTCTGCCGCTGCCGCCCCAGTCCACACCTCATGGACACGCCGCCGCCCTCTCTCCCGCCGTCCACCCTCCTCTGGCCGGACCTCCTCGCGGGCGCGGCGTCCTCCACGCGCCGCCTCGTCGCCGCACATTCCCGCCACTTCCTCGCCCTATCCTCTCTCCTTCTGCTCCCGCTGGCCCTCCTCCTACTCGCTCTCCCCTGTCCGTTCCTCCCTGCTTCCGCCTCCTCCCCGCCGCCCCCTCCGTGTCTCTCCGGTCCCCGCCGTATCCGCCGAGGAACCCGCTACCCATCCCGCTGCCGCTTCTCGGCCTCGCCGCCGCGCTCCTCTACCTCGCCGCCTTCGCCGCCGCCGCGGCGAGCGCGCACGCAGGGTTCTTCGGTCGCCCCGTCCGGCTCCTCGCCTCGCTCCGCTCCGTGCCAGCCTCCCTCCTCCGCCTCGTCCTCACCGCCATCCCGGCCTCCCCGCTCGTACTCCTTCCGCTCCTCCCGCTCCCCACTGCGCTCGGCGCCGCGCTGCCCGTCCTCGGCTTCATCCTTTTGTCCCCGTTCTGGTCCCTCGCTGGCGCCGCTGCCGTGGTCGAATCGGCCACAGGCCTCACGCCGCTCCGCCGGAGCTGCCGGCTCCTCTCTGGCGCCTGCCTCGCAACCCTCTCCTCGTTCCTAGTCTTTGCTGCTGGGATTGGGGTCACGCTATGGGGCTTCGGCGGTGTGGCTGCCGAGACGTACGACGCTGGGGCTAGGTGGGCTGGGATGGCGCCCGTGGTGGTCAAGGCGGTGGCTGGCACAGCGTTGCTGGCCGTGATGATGCTGTACGGGATGGTGGCCAACGTTGTGCTCTACATGCACTGCCGCGCGATGCACGGAGAGCTCGCAGGGGAGATCTACAATGAGTTCGCCAACATGTATGTCTTCCTGCCCTTTGACGATGGAAAAGATCGCCATGTTGTCTCTGTGGTCACGATGTGGCCGTGATTGGTTTTAGTGGAAGCAATCAAAAGGTTTTGGCCTGGTGTGCCTTTCAGTTCTGTGCATAAGCGTGTGTAATTGTGATGGAATGTTCAGAACATGTAGACTACTATTAGTGTAAGAGATCGATGCTTTTGGTTTTGTACTAAAATATAAAAGGATTTGAGTATCATATACCATTGTCGATGGGAATCGAATGTAAACTGGCCATTCGTTGTGTCATAGGTTTCATACAACTCTGCGGTATAAGAATACATTGGAGGTTAGAAAAGTAACTGTCCTGCATATCATAATACTGTACTTAGGATTGCTTAGAACAATCCTTAGAATGCATTTGCCTCCAGTTGCAAACTGTCCTGTTGAAATAGTAGATAGAGTAACCAACTAAGGCGTGACTGGTGCACTACATCATTGTACTACTTGCATACTTTTCTCACTCACAGAAATGTCAAATGTCATCCTTAGGATTACTAAATGGTTAAAACTTCATTACTAAATTCCTCTAATTTAAGTGAAACAGGTTGCCTTGCTTAATTTGGTTTTTGACTACCATGAAATTACAGTTTTCTGCTGTTTCTTTTTATAATGTTATTAAGCCTTTGGTACAGTGCAAAGGTATTGCATTACCCATATACCCTAATTTGCTTTATCATTTTGGTACCTTTTTATGCTTTTGAATAAAATGTTTACATTCTGGAATATCTGCTGAGTTTGAGGATACTATAAAAAAAAGGGCGTACCCAGTGCAGAGAGCTCCCGCTCTATGCAGGGTCTAGGGAAGGGTGTCAGTGGCTAGCCTTACCCTCGCCTGTGCAATGCGAGGAGACCGCGACTCGAACCCGGGACCTTCCGGTCACATGCGGTATAGATCAACATAACTGTCCTTCACAAAAAAATAGAACAAAACGGACAAGAAGCTCCATTAGTTTTGTTCAATCACTTATCTTTGGAAATTGGGCATAAAGAGTCACTATTAGTCATTTGAACATTCATCCTGTAGACAACAAGTTTGCAACTTCATTCTTCTGTGCATTACATAATATTTTTTTTCATGAATAGTACAATTGGTACACTAATAGGGAAGAAAAAAATGAACTGACAAATGGAATAAACTAATGGTGTTTGTTGGCATGGTGAGTATTTTCTCCAAGAAACATGAAAGCTGCATGTGGTGAATTATTTTTTGGTAATGAGATAATGATATGTTCTCTTAGTACTTAGTATTTGGAATGACATTGGACTTGGAGTGCAATACTTTTTAAATTTGCATGTTTAAACCATTGACAAAATTAAGCTGGCTCCCTCACCAAAAGTAAATGTCACTAGTGTTTTAGTTGTTGGAACTAAATGTCATTGATAATTACTGACCTACCATATTCCGTATTACTATCCAGCTATAGACACATTTTTTAAAGAGGATATGTTCGATCTGCTGTTCCTACTTTCAATCCTTATTGCTGGTTTTCTTCTCTTGGAGACAACGTGCCTGCTCCTATTTTCAGCATTATTAAAGAACTAAAACAATTGCATCATAAATACAGTCTTAGTGCCAGCTAAATATGTCTCTTCTATTTATATAATGCAAATGCTGTGAGATATATTGGATTTGAATGATTTCCATGGTCTAAAAATTGAAAGATTGGTCTCAGTGTGTATCTCATCATATCACATCGAAGTTACGGATGATGATTTGGATGGAAGATGATGATGGGGAGATCGGTCTTGTTCATGGCATATCCATTCTCTATCATCATCACCATTGTCCCTAAACACATTTGGAATACCAATATTAGTTAATAACAAATTCTTAGTTTTATCATTATGCAAACATAGGAACGAGCTCACCTTGTCTTTAACTTTCACGGGCGTACCCATAGGTGTCATGTCCTCATCAGATGATCCTTTCCTCTTTTCTGGGATTCTTTTGCAGTTTTTTCCTACCTTTGTGGGCATTTGATAGGCTTGAAAACACTGTTGTGTTTCTAATTGTTTTACTATCTTTTCTTTTGCACACCGAGACCTAGACAAGGCAACTATCTTGTGCAGAGGCATCACAAAAGTCTTGGTGCTCAACAAAGATTAGGGGTGAAAACGGGACGGATATTTCCTGATATCCATCCGTCCCTGAAGGGTCAAAACCTTATACGGGTAGTCCGTATCTAAATCCGAACATTTAATATTCGTACCGTATCTGAATCCGAATACTCAAAATCTCTGATATGTATATTAGATATCAATATCCGACATGAATCCCTATCCTGTTGCGAGATCCAAAAAAAATATAGGATAGAATGCAGGATATATCCGTCTGTATTCGATCCGGTTTCATCCCTACCACAGATATGACAACTGCTCTGTGTTGGAGGATGCTTTTGAAACATAAGTTGCCTTTTGCCTGTAGCAACCAGAGAACAAATAGCAGAATAGGCACCATTATTTATACCTGATCACTGTATCTTTAGAGTTTGGATATAATGTACTTAGCAAACTGACATTTTTTTGTTGAGAAACTAGAAATCAATTCTTTTGTACTGGAAATTGAAAATGATATGTCCAAGTTAGACTGTCGCTATGAACACATAACGGTAGATAAACATAACAGTGGTGTTGTAAGATTACTTGTGCCATTGCCCATTGGCGATGTAGATATCATTGTGTTTTCTGAAAGAGTTTTAAGTTGGCATTCATTGAAGTGATCTGGAGAATATTTGTCTCCTGTATTAAACTGCCCTGTTCAATCATAAAATGTTGGGAAAGAATGTTCTTAGTAGTCATGGAGCCAGAGCCACCAAATGAGTCTAGTTTGTATAATTTGATATACATACATGCCGATTAACCAATTGGATCTAGTTTGTTTCTATAAAATTTGCAATGTGTATTTGCTAGTACTTCAGATTCTACCGTATTATTTACCTTTTTGATATGTAACATGAAGGTATTTCGTTCAAAGAAAAAATGTAACATGAAGGTATAACTGTACCTTAGAACATTTATTTCCAGAAAATTTGTTTCATCTGCTCTGCTTGAAGCTATTCTTCATAGCAGACTTTATCTTCTCGAGACATGGCCATTATTATCCTTAGCATTATGTAAAGGTAAAATACTATGTCTGTTTTAAATTGTATGTCGTTTCAATTTTGACTAAGTTTATAGAAAAATGTGCAAACATCTTCAACATCAAACAAGACTCATTAGATACATCGTAGAATATATTTTGATGACACATTTATTTGATATTATGGACATTAACATATTTTTTTCTATAAACTTGGTTGAAGTTAAATAAGTTTGACTTAGGATAAAGGTCTTACAACTTGGAAATTGGGAACGGAGGGAGTAGTAGTTGAGGGCAACCAATATGGTGTGAGAACACAACAGGTAGTTCCCCAATAAAACTCCCTGGATAAGGTGGTAATAGGATAAGGTGGTAACAGGATGGCCCAGTGCCCCTTGGTAGATTATTTAGGGAAGATGCTTTTACAGGTCACAAATATGCTATCCCCTAATTCAAATTTTATGTCTAACGCACATAATTGAAATAAATAATTTTCATATTGAAATTCAAAAGTTCAAACTGAAATTCAAACAACCTAGTGTTGCATCTGGATTGTGGAGACAGTATTTTAGGCAGCTTTCAATGTGTCAATAAATTGCGCAAAGGTGATTCACTGCTCATTCAGTGCAAGATTGATGAACTATCAGGTGAATATATATTCAATTGCATGCTCAACAGTGAGCAAATTTCGAGTTTGAATCTGCCAGCTCAGTACAGCAGCTAAAAAGGATTGCAGGTGGGCTGATAATTACTGTAACTTTATGGCTCATGTGGAGCAGCTGCAATTACTTCGTGGGCTGGACTGCCAAGCCCACAAGAGGCGCACGAAGTCAACCAGAAACCGCAAACCGCCGATGGTGCTCTGCTCAATTGCTCCTCTCCGCTTTCTCAGGAACTCTGCTAGAGCTTTTTTTATTTTTATTTTGCAAAGGATAAGCACATCTCAGTCAAGCAAGTATGCCAAGCTTCTTTCTTTCATGACCTTTTTCACTTGCCTTTGTCAGTGGAAGGCTTTTCAAACAGTATGGTGCCCTATCCTCTATTGTTGATAATCTACAATTGCTCGAGGATGCTGACCTTTGGAGTTACATTTGGAACTCTCCACACTACTTCTCAAAAGGCGTATGCACACTTGATTGGCTCCATTCAAGTTCACCGTTCTTATCATTGGCTTTGGTGTTCTTGCTTTCTTAAAGATCGACTCAGCACAAGGAGTTTATTGCGTCAAAAAAAAAATGGTCTTGGATGACTACAACTCTGTTCTCTACAGTATGTCAATAGAGGAAAGTTTGGTTCATCTTTTTCTAGACTGTTCTTTTGAGTAGCATTTGGTTGAGAGATAAGGTGGAGTGTATGGTCTTGTCTCTGTTTGTAGGATAGGATGAATCCATTTCTGTTTGGTTGAGAAGGGACTAGACCCACCCATTTTTTTTGGAGGGACACCAAAAAGTGGATGAGACAATGACGCATGGGACCTAACTGTCAGATGAGACAATGCCCACACTTCCGTCCCACCTAGGATGACTATGTCCCTCAGTTTTATAAGGGCAGAGTTACCCTGCATCTTGGCGAATATTTCCTAGCGCGATGTTCTTGACTCTGCTTAGACTCTGAACCAAACACCACTATAACTTGTTTCATCCCATGACATTCCACCTGGTTCCTCCAACCAAACACTACCTTGGAGTGGCTTGTTGGGGCATCCTTGGATTCATCTATCCTCAACAGAGTGATTCTTTTGACACCCTTGTTTCATTCAGAAATCAGTTGCGTCTTCCTTTCTTCATGCAAATAATTATCACTATATGTTAGGCCATCTATTCAGCAATAAAAGATGCCATCTTTAGGAATAAGCCTTCTCTAAACCATGGCATCTTCAAGATGCTCGATTTATCCTTAGAGCAAAGAAGAAATATGAACCCTTTTTAGTGAATGGCTAGAAGTTTATGTG